CCCAGCTCTACTCACTGGGGCACAGAACAACACCCCAGGAGGACACAGCTGATCATGGCACCCCTGGTAGCCAAGGGACAGCTGACACAGTCTGAACACTGACTGGTGATGACCACAGTTGAACAAGACACCAGCTCAGCACAAGCACCATGCCCTCACCCAGAGCTATCTTGTGGATGAGCAGCAACAAGTGGAGACCTTCTTGTCTCAACCTAAGGCACGGGCTCAAGCTCAGGACATGAGCCTGGAGCCAGTTTTGCTCGTGAAGGACACCTGGGCTGCAGGGGGTCTGTAAGCTGCCACTCATCGGCTTTGAATTTAAATTCATGCTCCTCTCTCGGCTCCCAGTGGGGACATTGAAGTGGCACCAAGTGTGCTGCAAGCAAAATAGAGTTCTCTGAAATGGCACCAGCAGGATTATGAGAGCTTTGTCAATATTTGGCCAGAATGGAGGTGAAACTGAACCGAGTGAGGCTAAGAAACAATGTCAGATATTGGATTGTGAAGTGTAGTTGATCGCCCACAGTGGCAGCTATTGAGGCAGTACCAGCTGCTAAGCTGAAAAGTCCTTTTTTTTCCCTTTTCCTCCCTTCCTTTGTATTTTAACTTCAAGTAAATTGATCACAAATTACATATTGTGCAGCCACAGAGCCGGCTGGTACAGAAAATCAGCAACCTGGAACGCTCCGCAGGGAGAGCTAATCCACAGCTTGTTCCATGCTAATAAGGGAAGAACAGAGTCCTTCCATGGAGCTGCCCAGGGACCGGCCGTGTTCTCCCACAGTGGAGGGACTGGAGCAGTTCAGGTCCTTCTCAGGGAGAGATGCTCCCATGGACAAACTGGGCTTTGCTGAAACTGTGGTGCCCACACCCAAGGGGACAGGATGGGAGACAGCAGCAGTGGAGCATGGCCACAGGGTCTCAGGGAGATGCCTTCCCATAGCAGATGCCCCCACCATGAGAACCATTAGGAGCAGCACCTTGCTGCTCCCCTCTGCTGGGGAAAGCGAGGATGCTCAGCCCCCTCCATCTCCACGGCTCCAATGCCAACAGCTGTTTGCAGCCTTTTCAATCACCACTGCTTTGAAACAGCAGATGTTTCATCCCAGAAATACGGACACGGTCAGAGCTGTGACATTTCAATCAGAGCAGCCCCTTGTGCTCAAATTCAGGCCAGGCATTAGGCTGCAGTGGTGGCACTCCAGCCCCTTCCTCCCATGCCACACACCCTGCACACCCATGAGGAAGATGTACTCATGGGCCCCCTTCTCCTCGCACACTACACCTGGTGGTGCTGGCATGGGAATGCTCAGAGCTGGAAACACAGGATTTGTCACCATGCTGAATCTTTTAACCCTTCCCCAAACCAATCTGCACCCTGAACAGATCCTGGCATCTGCATCCTCTCATCCACCCGCCCATCCATCCATCCATCCCCAACCTCACCTTGCCATGAGAAGGGCAGGAGCAACCCTGCACCCCAGCGTGCTGTCCGTGGGGACACGGGATCCCTTCGCTCCCAAAGCCCAGCTCCATCCCTCCCCAGGTGCTCTGGGCCCCCAGGCAGTTCCTGGGCCAGACAGCAAGACATAAGGCTGCTTCACCACCAGGCCACCACTGCACACAGACTTCCCACCCAGCAGCTGTGTGAAACGACAACAAGCCCAAACGTTTTTCTAAGGAATTTAAAAAAAAAACAACGATGCACAAGTCAGATTCCATTGTCACGTCAAACCCAGCGTTAGTTAGAAAGCAGCGACAGATGGCTCTGCATCCCATATCCCTCAGCCGCCACCAGGGGCTGGAGGACACACGTCCCAGCATGGAGCAGCACCGCCATCAGCAGAGCCACCACACAGCACTGCTGCGTGCCTGAGCACCAGGAGCTCAGTGCAGGACCTGGGCACTCCCTGCACAGCAAGCAGTGCTCTGCTTCAGTCTGTCCCCCAGGACAGATTGTGTTTCAAGCACACGGGTCCCCATCCCTTCCCTCCTGCACATGGGCACGCAGGTCCTGTCCCCCCCTCCCGCACAGCCCAAGCAGAGCATGGAGGCAGCAGTGATTTTTCAACCAGTCATCATAGATCTCCAGCTCAAAAATCCCAGCAAGATGCAGAACCAGAACTGTGGGCTTGCAGGGAGCTCCGTGCCTGAGCCATCTGCTGCAGGCACAGCCTGAGCATCCCTGCTCCTTCCCCGTGCTGCTCCCACCAGGTCTGGGAAGGTGAAGGAACGCCGAGAGCACCTGAGAGGGCTGCAACCTCACTGCACAGTGCCCCATGGACCGGGGGTCCCACTCTGCCCTGTCCCAGGGAAATGCTCCCCGAGGGGCAGGGGGAACCTCCACCCACCTGGCTGCTCCCTGAGGCCAGAGTTCCCTTGGTGCTGCAGCACCGGTGGCACTTCAGCGTGAGAAAGGGAAAGCGGGAGATGAAAACAAAACAAAACGCAAGGAAGAAATTATTTTCATTAACGGTTGGCAGCCAATCCCAACCTTGCTGAGATGGCTCGGGAGCAGGGCTCTGGCCCACGGGCACCAGTGCCACATAGCGAGAGCCTCACCGCCCGGCTCACAGCGAGCCCCGAGCACAGAGAGCAGCCCGAGCCGCTCGGTGCTGCAGCGTCTGTCCGGAGATGCAGCTTTGCCTCCCAGTGTCCGTACCCGATATTGCACTGATGGGATCCGCAGAGCCGACCTGGACAGCGCTTTCAGCTGTACCTCCGGGTGATGCCCAGCCCAGCCCTGCTGTTGCCTGTGACACTCTCAGGCTGGGATGCTGCCAGAATCCCAGCGAAGGCTCAATTCTAAACCCTGTTCTCTCATGCCAATACCTGAGCTCCAGGAGTCGGCTAGTCCTGTCCTGCTGCTGCCTCCAGAGAGCAGAGCTCCGTGCTGCCCTTCTGCCTGGCCCTGCCGGGTCCTTCCTGCTGCTGACCAAGCAAAGCTCGCTTGTACATGGAGGTGGCCACAAAGAAGGATGGTGGACATCACAGCAGGTAGCAAGAACAGAAGCACAAGTGCAAGCACATAGCAAAGTTCAGGAGAAGCCTAAAAACAGCAGAGCAGTATGTCCCAGACCATCTGGAAGCAGCTATTCCCCATCCTTCTCACCAACAAGGGATGTGCTTGGCTGCAGCTCAGGGATGACATGTGGAAGGACATTATGGGGTTCCCACAGGCAAGAGAAGGAGAAACCTCCAAAAACACTCCAAAATGTGGGCTGAAAGTCCTGTTGTGGCTAGCCAGCCCTGGGTTCAGGAGGTGTCAAGCAGAGCTGAAACACCCAGAAGAGAGAGATGGAGGCTTGGATGGGCTGCTGAGAGCCATGGGATCTGCAAAGCTTACTTTCATTTAATGGACCTTTGTGTTTGAAAATTAAATCAAGAGAACTCTTGTATTTGCCACAGGGCTGAGCATAAGCCGAACGCGCAGGATTTAGAGGCGGAAGAGCTTTCCAGATGAGCAGAGTGCAATTTTGTCCTAAGAACCAAAATAATGATAAAAATAACTAGCATAGGAGAAAGCGAGCTATGAGTGCAGCATACAAATGTCAAACTTCAGATCCTCTCAGCAGAACCATAGTAAAAGGGTTTAACCTATTATATCAATTAGTGGTATTACATCCCTAGACTGAGAAGAAACTCATTCTCACAGGCAGGCTAATTCCATACATGCTCTGCATTCAGGGGCTTTTGGCAGCGTGGTGAATTTTAACTGGTGAATAAAAGATCTAATGCTACCAAGTACTGATTCCATTCATATAAAGCAGCACTGGGCAGAGTGATGGATTTTCATTGCTCTTGGGAGGAGAGATTCCCCCACTGCACCAACCCAAGTGATCTGCAGCCCCGGGGGAGGACACATGCTGAGCTTTATGGTCAGAACTAGTGAGAGCAAGGCCTCCTCTGCTACTCCCTTGCAGCTTCTGCAACTGCTCTCTGCATTGCTCACCCGGCTCTCAAAGTAGAAAGATGGGAACTGGTGTGATGAACTCCTGAGCTTGTAAGGAGCCATCACACAGCAATTTCTTTCCTGACTCCCCCAACCCAAACACACAGCATAAAGAGAAACACTTCCCTGCCACTGCTGGTGGAAGCACCCTATGTCCCCAGGCTCAAAGTACAAATGTAACATCCTGCCTTCTCTTCCTGAATAACAGAGGTAACAATTGCCTCCTCTGCAAAAGGTTGAAAGCATGGTAAGGACAAAGCCGTGATGAGGCCCATCAATCTGGACTACATTTCCACCTTACGTTCCAGACTCATATAAAATCCAACAGCAATAAAGCTTTTCCAACTTTGCTCAGGAAAGAAAAAAAAGATTAACTGAAAACCTGAATCTGGATCCCAGTTTTCTGCTTGCCTCCCTTAACAGCAAGTTAACAACACATCTACAGAGAACACTGATACAGCCACAGAGGAGCCCAACGAGGGCAAGTTACCTGCCAGTGGATTGCTATCAGGGACTGCTTCCCAAGAAGGAGAAACCCCAGGCACTGTGGGCAGGCTGGGTACCAGGTGGTGCTTCTGTCACTCACCATTTCTAAGCTGCTACTTCAGTACCTTTAACAGCATGAGCAGTGCTGTGAGGTTTCCTGTCCTGCAGCTAACCTCAGCGCTCCTGCTCAGATACCTTGCTGTGTTTGAGATGGTCAGCTGTAACTCCTACAAAATACCAGGGCTTTACAACACATTCTGTTAGCACACAGCACAATGGATGTCATTTCTACGACAAAATGATGATAAAAGCCAAGGCTCTGATCTTGTCTGTCCTTAAACCTGTTGCAAATGAACCCAGCTTTCACTTCTCCTCAGCATGGATTTTGATGCTGTGTCCCAGAAGATTACTGGAATGAATGAACAGCTACAGGAGTCCTTTGGCTACTTTGCTCAGCCAAGACTTAAGTTTTATGCAAGCAAACTAAAGCCAGATCACCAAAATTCGACTAGCTTTGAAGACTGCTAAAGCATCATAAGGAACTGATGACAGTAGTCACAGATGAAAATTAATCAAGATATTTAATACAGTGCAATCCATAGTAGTTTCTTAATTAAAATAATTGTGTGCACATATCTGAATGGGTTATCAATTATCACAAAAAGCAATAAACATTGTAGTGCTATGTAGAAAAATGTACAACTGAAATTTAAACCTTCCCTACTTCCAAGATAGCATTTGTCAATTGCAGATCATGATCACCAATTAAAATGGGAACAGAGACTACGTTGTTGCAGTGACAGACACAAGGCTGGCCACACATCAGTCAAGGGATATAAATATAACTTGCAAAGAACTAAAAACCTAAAGTATTCCTGCACCTAAACACAATAAGAAGCCGATGGTGGCTTTACCACTTTTCCTTTTTTTTTTTTAAATGCCTTACAAGACTTCTAAACACACTTAAACTGACTTAAAATTACAGAGTGCTTTTCAGCTCATTTCAATTCAATACGCCCAAACGTTTGAAGATGAAGATCCAGCAGTGGCATTAGCACAGTCCAAAAGCTGAATGTTTAATTTTGCAAATACCTTTTTTACAGAAACTCAACCGTACAAACTGCAGGCAATTCCCTCTGCTCCCCTCTCTTTCCTTTGTGCAGACCACGCTATGCAGAAAACAGCAACGCAGTTCCCACTGCTTCAGGTTAAAATTAAAGACATTTTACTTATGCTTTCTCCTCAACACAATATATTTGCACCCAGAACAGGTAATCAAAGTCTTTTTCCAGCCAATTACTGCTGTGGTTACATGTTTCCTGCCCAAGCTTCCAGCTCTTTCATGTCATCATCCTCTTCTTCCTCTTTCTTCTTGGCTGCAAAATATTAAAAGAAGATCAGTGAGTTACAAATGGGGATCTTGGCAGAACCCTGCAACCACTCCAGAAGAGCAGCCTCCATGCCATCAACCTAACCAGTAAGGGAGGCACCACATGCTAGTTGAGGGCGTGTGAAATGTTACACCAGGCCTTCTTCAGCTGAACCAAAGGTACCTTCACAAAGATCCATGGTGGATTTTCAGAAGACACCACTTAAAATGAGAAAATTCATAGGAGAACTGCAAACACGAATGAAAGTGTGTGTACACCAGTGGTATCTGCTGTTTGCCATGAGCACCACCCCTACAGCAGGACACCCTGAGCCTTCAGCTTCAGTCCCTCCCAGCAGGGCTCAGTTTCTCACAGCAGCTTGTCTCCAGTCTCACAAATAAATTCCTTACTGCATCAGTAAGTCCTCAAACTGCAACAACACACAGAGGGAACCAGGTTTTGGTATAGCTAAGTACAGAAGTGGGAGACTTCCAACTCTTGTGTCTGTTATGCTCTTTCAGAGGCTGAGGAGCTAACAAGCCAGGTGCTGCATCCCCTCTTGCCATGATCACACGTGCAGATGTGAAGCAGCAGCCTGCACACGTTGCCCTGCAGTTTGCTCCAGGGGAGCAAACAATTTTTGTTTGTTCTAGTACAGTTAAGTCCAATTTCTGGAATGAGGAGCATTAACAAAAAGCAAAACATTTCAACCCAGAATTGCTACAGCAACTTCTTTGGAAAAAAAAAAAAAAAGGGAAGGGGAAAAGTTCTTCCTCAGATAGTATTCTAGCTTCAGAATTGTCCTGTTTCTAAAAGGGAAAAAAAGAGTGAAATAATTCATGCTCCAAACAGCTTGTGTCATTTTAGTGACACATTCATGTAAAAGGGAACGGAGTTAGCTTTAAGTCAAACTCAAAACCTACTGCTTGTACAAGTTTGGAATTCCTTTTTCTAAATTAAGCTTATCCAGTCTCAGCTAAACAGAATCAGCTTTTGCCTGAATCCCTCCAGACATCAGTACAGCTGGCAGGCAACAAACACCCTTCTCATTTGGACTGATTACTTCAAAATCCAGGCAGCTCCTGAGAACTGGAAAGTCAGGAAAGCTCACGATCACTTTCCATCCAATGAATAAAAAGGAGGGAATGGAGTCAGCTGTACCACAGCAGGCACAAAGCATGCACCTGAGCTGTCAGGTAAAGCAGTGCCACTGAAGTCTGGTTAGTAAAAAGTACCCAAAGTACTTTCAATCCTAATACAGTGCAAAAGGTATCTTTAGTTTCAGGTTGGTACGTTTTAATGATAACAAACTTCATGAAAACAGCTACATGTTAAAAAGACAATGCCCAGATTTATCCAAAAACAATTTCTCCTGCTGTTGAATTGACTTTGGATTAAGGCACTGATTCTAGATACCTTCATGCAACTCGCTGCTCTCTCATCAACACTTGTCAGCCATTCTGCCTTGCGAAACAGAACTAGAAACCAATGCAATATCAGTTACATCTAAAAGAAAAACAGCACACAAGAAGAAAACTTCCCAACAAGCCACCTGAAGCAGAACCTTGTTGTTTGGCATCGTATGTTGCTTCCCAGGCCTTCAATTGTTCCAGAAGCCGCAAGATAATTACAGATATACTGACAAGCAGTTGGGAACATTCCCACCCTCAAGCTTTTTGGACCTCTTTTCCCTCCAAGAAAGCACACAAAAGAGAGCTGCAAAGTCTACAACCTCCTTGGAATACCTTATGACAAATTCAGCAAAACAGACAGCAAAGCTTCACATCCTGTTAATGCACGTCAAAGGTATTCCAAATCAATTATATTTCATGAGGTATCACTTCTAGTTCACAGAAGCAATTAGTGCTGCTTGAAAAGCAGCTTTGAACTGTCTGTGTAAATGCTAACACTTCTTGGCCACTCTTCATGTTACATCATTATACTGGTTTTTGCTGGATACAGGTGCTGTAAAACTGGCATGACTACAAGCCTGCTACTGCCTGGCTTGAGCACGTGCAAACCACAGACTAAGGAGAAAACAGTGGACCCCAAACAGGGGACTGAGGATAAACAGGTTAAGTCCTTCTAAGAGCCAGAAGAACAGGTATCAAATTTAAATAAAGCAGTACCAAGGAAGTATGGTTCAGTGTGGGTATCTAAAGCAAATTCCAAGAGCTAACGAGCTCGCAACTCAACTGCCTTTCTTTTATACCCACAGGCTGCAGGTCAGGATGACTTCCCTGATGCATCAGCAGCAACCAGCAGGAGGTGCTGCTGGCTTCCTTCTTCCACATCTCCACTCTACCTTGAGCATCATTCCCACCAAAGTTAAACTGTAAGTGCTGCAACAGACAATAACTGTTCCTGTGATTGTTATTAGCTTTCACAGTTCTTATGAAAGGCAGGTTAGCTCCTTGGATTAGTGGCACTAGATGTAACTTGGAACTCACAAAGCCATTTCATGTGACATGTCTGTGCTGCCTGCAGCTAGAATTCTCTAATCGGGGGAACTGGAAATTAATGGAGGGTGCACTGTGAGAACCCCAGATGTTTCTGATCCACGCTTACCTGGCTTTGATGGTATTGATATTGAGGGCACATTTGGTAGTGGTACTGTTTCAGGACCACTTATTTCCAGCAAGTTTTTGTCTAATTCTTCTTGTTCTAGTTCCTCTAGTTCTGCCATGAGTTCATCCTAGTTTTATGAAGGGAGAAGAAAAAATAAGAACAAACTTTTAGGTCATATTTACTATCAAGCAGATTCAGCCAGCCATATTATTGCAGAATAGCCTAAGTGCAAAGGATCAGTGCAAACTGAGGAGATAAAGAACCTGAATCTTCATGTGAATTCCCATATTCCTCTCTTGGAGGAGACAGCAAAGATATCTAAGTCCAAATATTATCTGATCCATCCAGACCACCCTCAGCATAAAGTCAGGTTCACAGCTGCTGTATGCACTGGCAGAAATAGCAAGGAGAGATCTACAATCCTGCTGCTATTCCTAGAAACACGTAACACGTAGATCTTAAAGAAAGGTTTCATTTAAACAGAGGAAAAATTCAAAGTGTACCTCATCAAATTCTTCCCCAAATCCTACTGGCTTCGAGATGGCTGTTGAGATCTCATCTGCCAGCTCTTGCTGCTCCGCAATGTCCTGCATTAATTCATCTACTTTATCAATATCCCTATAAAAAAAGAAAGGAGGATCAGGCACTTCCCCAAGCAGAGCTTAAGACTGTTGTTTTTTTTTTTCTGTAATAATGCCACGCTACAGTGATATTTTACAAGGTTATTTCTGAAAAAAATACTTTGTATGCACATCTAAGCTTTATCCCTCTACACCTCAATCCCCAGTCTCAATAAAGTTATGCATAATTTCTTGTTTCACTTCCCAAAAGCTTAGCTCACAGCAGTTACACACAGAGAGCTCCTCTGGAAAGGTTCTGGTTTGTATTTTTGATATTAATAATCATTTGCTCTGTTCCCTGTTCCAGCATTATTACATTACACCTACAATATTTGCTTTTGGAAGAAGTACAGCATTCCCATAATGCTTTCATTATTGCTACATACACAAACCCCACAGCAAAGAAAGAAGTTTAACCCTCGCTTTGAGGCTGGAAACTTGCTGTTTGCAGGCAGATCCATAGGTAGCATGTCCTCCTGTCTGCTTTACACCCAACTGGTGGCAAACTTCTGCTGGGCAAAGACTGCGTGCGTGCTACGAGTGGCTTCACGTTGTGTGAAACAATGCCAGATTGAAAAAGCATTCATCCTTCATATCTTGGCAATTACCCACATATACCTCATGTTTTATTTGTATTTAAGTTATAGACTTTTAAAAAGAAGATTTTACTACACTGGCTCTATTACTTGTTATAAAATACATGGTATTTAGCATATCAAACAAATGTCGAAGTAAGGGTCTTACAGAAGGAGAGAGGAATAACTTACATGTTGTCATGAGCAGCTTTCATAGCCTTAGCAGCAAAGCCCATATTCTTAAGCACTTCAGTGTTGGTGTTGGCATTCTCCAGGGCTTCCCTCTGAAATTCAATTGTGGACAACGTGCCATCTATCTGGGCAAGCTGCTTCTCGTACCTCTTCTTACGCTTTAGGGCCTGAAGAGCAGCTGAGCAAAGGAAAGAAAAGTAGGATTTGTGAGATTTGTGATGCAGCCAGCCACTGTTCTGTACCAAATGCCACTCAGTACACAGCAACATTCAGCACACTGTATTGTTTGTTTGTCTTATGGTTGCCTACTTGCTTAAAGGTGGCCAAGTAAGCACTGACCATCTGCAGCTGCCAGAAGGATGTAGGTTAAGATGAGAATGAAGGACTGGCAGCTCATCCAGCTGTAACAAGCCACAGCACAGAGACCTGGCTGCTGCAAACAGCACGCTTCAATACACAAGCCGATGCACTCAGCAACATCTTTGTTCCTCCCTGTACATCCCAGTATGGTGCAGTGAGCGTCACTTGAGGTTCTGGTGCTGCTGTGCAGCTGCTGGCAGTGGAAACTCAGTCATGCAGGAAGTGAGACAAAGCTCTTTGTTCTGCTGCTGGATGCTGTGATGTATACGTATGTAAACAAACACTGTGCACGTTTCATGTTACTCTCGCTACAAGATGCTGCCCACACTGCAGCCCGGTGCAAGCTCCCTTCTGAAACATAATGCAGGCAAGCTGGATTTACCAGTAATTCTGCCTTTAAGTAGGTAAAGGTTCAGTAGGAGCAGCACTGTGGGCAAAGCGTTACCAAGCATGGAGCACCACTGTCTGATGAGCAACAACCAAGTGCAACATCAAGTGAAGCATACCACTACAACTTCCCCCACGGCACTTCTGCTTCTGACACAAACAGACTTCTTGCCCACTGTGTGATAGGCTTGGCCACATAATATGTCCATCTTGTTTAAATGCTCAACTTACAGGCATGGAATCACAGAGTATCCCAAGCTGGATGAGACCCACAAGGGTCACTAAGTCCAACTTCCAGCCCCACACAGCAGCGCCCCAACCCAAACCCTACAGCTGAGGTTGGTGTCCCAGCGCTCCCTGAGCTCCAGACCAGCGCCATGCACGAGGAGCGGTGGCAACACAAGCTTCATATCTTCACAGTGCCCTTCCAAATCCCTCCCTGTCCTTGTTGCGATTCCCTAGCAGATTTTGGAGGGCTGGGGAAGCAAGTAGGAGGAAATCCTGCCAGCAGACAACTCTCCTGTATCCTCTTTTAAAGCAACAACAGCTGTGACATGGTGAGCATATCACTGCAACAAGCAGCAAAATACCTCAGCTCTTGAAAGAGAATTAAGTCTGTAGGCAAAGCTGGCAAACACCTCGTGTGTTGTCAGATGCCATCTTGAGAAGCCCTCAAGGTAACATCCCAGCAGCGTGAAGAGGAACACATCCCTTCAGTCCTCTAAGCAGCCATGATTAATTTCTAATTCCTCCAATGTACTGGAATAGCAATACTGAACAGAGAGCCACTTTGTGCAGCTAAGGCTGAAGTTGCCAAGCACCCTGCGAGGCCCAAGGGCTGATTTAGCAGATGTGACCAGAAGGACAAACAAAGGTCCCCCAACTTCTCCAGCACAAGCCCAATGCCAAACCTAAGGCACTTCAGTGCCCCCCACCCCAATGAGGTAAACCCCCCTCTATTCTGGGGCCAACTTCACAGCCCCAGCAGCTTTCATTTGGCACAAGCAGGAACAGGACTGAATTTTCATGTCACACAAAGGCCAGCATTCTCTCTTCAGAATTAGACACAACACAGATATCATGTGGAACATTCCAGTTTGATGCCAAGCACAGAGTGAAAAGCAGTCACGAATTTCTGGTACATTTGGTCTGGTCAGCTCAGCACTCATTGTTTAATTAAGGATAGGTAAAGTTATCTTACAAAGAAAAAGCTGTCAGTATCATTTATATTTCAGCTGCCTGAAGGGAGCACAGACCAGCAAGAGATACAGGATATGCACAGTGCTTCTGTGCCTGGGCACGTTGGGATGGATATCCAGTGCAGAGCAATGAGCATCAAAGTAAAACATGGGCTTCTGCACTGAAGAAAAGCTTTCAGAACAGACTGATGTTTCCTGCAACTAAAAAGCACCAAGGAACAGACAACAAAGTACTTAGTGGCTCAATTGAGACAATCACAGTTTCCTGCAATCTATTGCCATCTGTCCCCTTGCTTTATTATCTCAATGTAAAGTTTGTATCTGAAGCAAGAAGATCTTATTAAGCTGATTATTATTATTATTATTTAGATCACATTTGTTTTCAAGCTTGTCACAGTTCAGTTGGTTCCCAACTCCCTCCTAGGGCTGATTTCTCCACTCTCAGGTTTCAGGAAGAACACATCACCCCCAGCACAGAGTTCTGAAGCAAATTCCAGAGCAAGGGCACCCCTGGGGCCAGCAGGAGAGCTGTACAGCCTTACAAAACAGCCCATGCATGGAGGAGAGCCTCCAAACTCTACTGGAAACACACCAGGAACAGCCTTTGCCATTGCAAACAGTGGGCTGCAAACGTACATGCTGCTGTCACACTTCACAGGGCAGTGGTACCTGATGGGTCCTCTCTGCTCTCCTATTTAAGATTTGATTGAAAACAGACAGTGGTTCTGCTGCCTTTACCTTGCAAAGCAGTCTTTACCATCTGCATAAATACCCACTGAATTCCACCATACTGCCCAAGTTACACATTTTTATTACATTTTCAATAAAGTCAGAGCAATGAAAGCTTATTCTGAAAGAAGCTGCATTAAATCTTCTCTATCCACGAAATCAATTTCCAGAACTTGAAATAAATCTGAAGGAGAGGCAGCTGGCCACTGATGCACCTTCCAATATTGCAGTATTTCACACGTGAGCAAGGAATGGGTGTGCCTCTGAAGTCCGAGTGTAATACAGCCCATCTCTGCTCTTCCTGAGGACAGCTGTTGTGTTTAGCAGTCATGGAACAGGAGGCACCTTTAATTACACCTTTACTACTTCCAAGGTAGCAGTGACATCAGCGGGTGCTGTAATTTCACACCCATAATGGCCATGGAACTGCTCCTGCAGGACCCACCACCATTGATTCTGCTCTGAGCGTTGCCCCAGGCAGGCTCACTGCACTCCCACCCTCAGCCCGCTGCCAGACAGCCTGGCAGCACATTTTACTGGCAGGAGCTGACCTGGGTTTTCCATGCATGCCAACTTCCTTACCTTAGAATAAAACAAAACAAACAAAAAAGCTGTGTAAGGTTACAGGATCACTGGAGCAGCACCTCGCAGCAGCTTCTGTGAAGTGCCCGATATATTCAGAAAGAAATATGGACTGGGAGTCATTTCCTCACTTTATGTGCTGTGTATTTCTTAGGAGAACACATGCCTTTGCACTGAGTAAGGGTTAGCACTGGGTATTTCTTCTAAAAACAACAAGGCTTTGGGCACGTAAACTTGTTCTTGAATTATTCCTCTTTGTATAGAAAAAACAGCAGTACTTCTTCAAATCACTGCTGCTCTAGAAGGGGAGAGATTTTGCTTGTCTTTTTATTCTCTTTAAACCTCTCACAGGTTGTACTTGAAGAGACAGCAACTGCTGACCCACAACCGACAGCTCACCCTCTCCACCTGCTAAATAGATGAGCTGAGCTGATGAGAGAAGCAAAGCCAGTTAGTAGACTTTGAATTCACTATTAAAAAAAACAACAGAAGATCAATGCTTAAGATAACCTTCACTTAATGAATCAAAGCAAACCCCACCATAGCAAAAATATTCGATCATCACATGAAAGGCAGCTGTGGATGGGACTTCAGACCCAACCTGCACCGAGGAGGATCAAAGTGATCAGAGAGCAAACTGCTATCCAGACAGACTGGCTGCTTCCATTACTTCAATCTAGAAACATGTCCAAAAGTAAGTTTAATATTACAGCCTTCTTATAAACTCAGACTTCTTGATATATTTGAAGGCATTTCTCCCTTCATTTTCACAGCCCTAGAATATTAGTTTGTGAACAGCTGATGAGGAGCCGGTGTCACGGCGTTCAGCCACTTCTCCCCCTGAGTAATGAATGCTCTCAAGTGAGAAGGGGAAATGCCCATGTTCCAGCTGCCTCACCCAGACTTACTGCCTGACAAAACACCACAGTCTGCCAAACAGTTTCACTTTCTTCTCTGAAACTGCAGAGAGTCTGGAAGAACTTTATGCAATTGTTAAAGACATTTCAACCTGGACATGAAGAACTGTTAACAGAGCTGTCATCAGTCTAAAACCTGCCCCAAAATATAGATGTATGCAGCACTTCAGTAAGAGAAAACGCTCACAGTGATCAGAAGGTAGCAGGAGAATAAAGATACAATTTTTGCCACACGGTACTGCATTCAGTGACAAACATCTGACTGAGCACGTCAATGATTTCATCACACACCACCAACCCTGCTGCAAATTAGTACTGCCAGTTCATGCACTGGGCAAGCAGTTAAAGGGATATTTATGCCCTCAGCAATCTTATTCAACTAATGCTTTTAAGCAGCAAGAGTAGAAAAGCATAGATTGATATATAGAAAAAACAATGAACTCGAGACACTTTTCCACCTACGTGCAACCACAGGCTGTGGTAGCAGAAACAAGTCTGTGTTTGGGGAAGGCAGGCAGACCAGTTCCTCCAGCAGGGGGAAAGCATTTGGGAGCTGTGCTGAAATTAAGCCACGCTTTCACAGAGGCAGCTGTGAGCCCAGGAACTCCTCTCACACGTGCACATGAAATGCCTGCTCACTGCCCAACGCTGGGTCACCATCCCACATGTTGCACTGCACACCTGACCGGGAACAAGAGATACATCATTAATTTTGCTGCTTCTGAAAATGTGATTCCATCTTCCTGGCACCTGCCTCAGCAGAAAACCTAATCACCACCCTTGCTGTCCTTGAAATTGGATAAACTAGAGGCTCCGCTAAGCATAAGAAGCAATTTGTTCCTTGCTTGCCATAGCTTTGCAGCTGTTGAGAACGAGCAGACACTGCCTGTAGTATCCCCAGAGAACTCCAAGAAGCTAACTTCAAGCAAAACCCCCAGTGCTGCAGACAGAAAGGCAGGTAGAAATCCAATAGAGACAGATCCTGCCACAGCCTTACACAGTTC